GATGTCCCCTCAAAAGGAGTAGTCGAGTGCAAAATAATAGTATTTCAATTTTTCACAAAAAGAAATATTTCTTTTCAGAAAAAAAAAGTTAAACACACGCGAATCGCTCGGTTGCAAAACGCACGAGCGGAACGCGTTGAAGAGGCGGTTTCCTCCTCTCGAGGTTTCAACCGACGATACGTTTTTAAAGATTGCACGGCGTACGTCTTTTTAAAGGACGAGAACCAGTCGCGCGACACGCGCGTAACAAACTTTTAAAAACGAGTATGTTTCGCATGTTCCCGGCCAGCGTGCCAACGAAACATACTCTTTGCATAATGCGAACTCGCGACTTGCGAGACCGTCGACGAAGTGAATCTCTTGGGACTAGTCTGTCGAGCTGGCTACACCTGCGGTCTAATTGCAAGCCCTGTCTCTCCCTCTCGATTGTGGTTCCACGGTCTAGCTTGAAATTTCAGTTAAGCGACTATGTAACTGCGTACACACTCCCCTAAATAACGACAGTGATTGCAAAAATAAATATACCACAGACCAGCTGGCGAGCTCTCGTTAACGTAATTACAAGTCACAACGATAAATCTCGAATACGTGCGTGCGAGACGCCTAGAGGAAGGGTGACGGGGACTTATAGCTCCACCTGTAGCTCTTATCGTCTCATCTAACCGATACGCCGATACAACGTAGCCAAACGATAAACGAACATGTCGCCATAGGACGTAGAGACTTTCATTGTTCGAATTGTGAATTGTACGTACGATCGTACGCAAGTGCAAACCAAAGGAGACAAGTGCAAAGAGAAAAAGGGTTCGTCGAGAAATGTTGAAAACACTGTGTGCCCTTTTCAACTGTTCGTCGTGCAAATGCGACAAACGCAGTCTTTTCTGCGCGTTGAACTCGGACATCGAGTTGTGTTTTCTCCAAAGTGTTCTTTCTCATTCGATGGACGAATGTTTCGATCATGGAGTGGCAAGTGGAGCGCAAACGATGACATTAAATTGTTCCAGGTACTCTACGAACGTATATATGGGATAGAACCCATATCTGTCGCTTTTATAGGTTGTAAACTCCTCGACGATGCCTACGTTTTTTTTATTGACCCGCTCTCGTTTTAAATCTAAAAAGGGAGAGGAGGGGGGGGGTCCCCCTTCGATCAGGTTTAATCCGTTTTTGCGCACCCTTTCGTGCACACAAAGTCTCTCCCTTCACGGTTTCCCTTGTGCGTCTTCAACCCCGCGAAGAACGAGACAGGATCGAGCTGGTGGTGCATTCCTTCATCCGTGGAAAGGAATAAAATAGAGCGGCGCGACGGTTAAAAACCTTAACGTGCTTACAAGCACGCCCGGACCCCTTCTTGCGTACCTTCTTAATGTATGCTGTAAAAGCTGTTTTTAACGAGTTTGGCGTCAAACACTCGTCGAGGATGGGAATTAAGCAGAATGAGGTCCGAGCCTCCCCTATTACCTACTTCCTTTATTATTACCGGCGAATCTACCGAATCTTCGCGTTCAGAATGGACGAATAATGGGCCGCGTTTAAACGTTACTTCTCGAGTGTGTGTACTTTACATTCGAAAAGGAACTCGCACGATCTCTTGACAATACCGAGCGACTGCGACCAGGGTCAATGGAAACGAGACAACACAGCGAAGAATCAGCTGGCTGCCACCCCTATTTTCCGCTGTCGCGCGATTAATTTCCGTGGAACGCGTCGCGAGAACCGCCCGGCATTCAATGCGATTATTCACGGCTCGGCGGGAATAAAGAAGAAGAAGGCATTAACGGCCACGGCCACGGCTGCTTCTCGCGAGCAAACCCCGAAGAAAACGAGAAACACGACGGATCGTGGCACGGGACAACCCTCTTCCACGCACGAAGGGAACTTACGCTATCCGTTCTTGCGATATAAATCGCGGCAGAGTTGCTCCGATAGTCTACCGACCACAGCGTCAAAAATTTGAAAAACTTTTATCCGGTGGATAAATAAATTTCGAGGAAAAGGTAAATAAAATTTCGACTCCCTTCGACCGTTTGCATTCGACTTCTAACGAACCCCCTTGAGGATGAATATCTCTTCTTCGAAGTAGAAAGACGATCGTTGAAGATGAAAATCTTCTCGAGAGATAAAGGGAGAGAGACGTTGTCA